TGGAAAGAGAAAAGACATATCAGAGACACTATTTGGTTTCAATATATATATATATATATATATATATATATATATTAATTGTGCTTGTCACTCCCTTCGTTAGTTCGCCCGACCGCTACGCCCTGCCAATACTTCGTAAATAATGGTCTATTCCGTTTTGATCGCGGGGAAAGAAAAAAAAACAACATATCATTGACGTTATTTGGTTTCGGTGAGAAAATGAAAGAAAGATGGGAAGATAGAAGTATTTAACGTCTGTTTCAATGAAATGGAAAAAAATGTCCATTTCAAATCTTTTCATTTGTACCCCCTTACTTCTTGAAATAATGACCAGCATTCATATTTATGATTGTTATTGCAATATTTTGTTAAAGTTGTTTAGCTCAAATATTCAACTATGCGATAGGGGAATTTCTATAGATATTCTATTGTCGTAGAACTCGCCATGAGCTTCTTCAATAATTGAATGTAAAATTAAGATTCATCGGAAATTTAAAAAAACATAGGTAAAAAAACGTGAAATTTTAACGTGTTAAAATTAGTGAATAAATAATATTGAGACCAACACACACAGACACACACACACACACATATATATATATATATATATACATAAATAAGTTTGAACAAAGTCATTTATTACGTGCAATAAATATTTTACATGCGAAATATTTACCTTCTAATGCTAAAATTCTATTCGCTGGACGCATGATTAAAGTTAGGTACCTTCATTATTTCCGCATAAATTTTTGATACCTAAAGTTTAAAATGAATTTTTAAAAATGAAAAAACATTCTTGAAGATTTCATTTTAGCTTTAATTGAAAGCTAAATGATTACATTTATTATTTCTTGTAAGTAAATTATTCTGGTGCATTTCGGATAGAAATTATATAGATTGGAATGTCCAATTTAATTTCGATTTCTTAAAATTTTCTTAAAAGCGCCCATTTTCTTAATTTTAAGAAATTTGTAAAGAAAAAAAATTATCGATTTTAAAATTCTTTCAGAAAATACATATATACTTATGACACGTTTTTTGAGTAAAATTAGAAAATTTTAAGTTAAATTAATCTGATTTGAAATAAATATTACTTATAGCATAAAAATGTAATATACAACCATTTATTTAATGATTGGCTTTGCTTATGATAGCTTATCTGAGGCGATAATGGATGACCGATGAGTGAGGTAGCGATGGCAGCTAATATGGGGGGTTAGAGTTGATACAAAATTTAAGAAATCTAAGTGAACGCATTGTTTTGGTTTTTAACTACCTAGTACGTTTTACAAATGAAAATATTTTCCGTAATTATCTAATAATTTATTGACTTTTATTTACCTTTCGAAGATGCTTTATGCAAAAATAAAAAAAATTAAAATACTATAAAATTTTCTTAAATTAATTTCTTTGTAAAGAGACACAACTCTTAGATCACGTGACTGTTTCATAATAATGTCACGTTTAGACTTTCATAGATTAAAATAGGGAAAAAATTAAGTAAAAAAAAATAAATAAAAATAAAAATTATTTTAAAAATAGAATAGTGTAACTACGTTTTTTAATCTTTTCAATTTTGTATTCGTAAATTTCGTTTCCACTTAATTACTATATCACATCCAGGAAATAGCCCAATAAAGAATTTTACACGATTTTAAACTATTATGAATTATTATAATTAAAATTTTAAAAAAAATTGAAAACAATTGTAAAAATTCATCAGAAAAATGTTATTTCTTCAGACAATAATGTACTTATAATTAAAAGCTTTTCTAACTAAGTAATGTCATAGTTTTATTGTATTCATTATTTTTCAATTCAGAGCAGATTTTCAGATAGAATAGTGCAAGTTTGAAAAAAACAAAGAAACTTAGGCGATTTAGATTTTCCAAAGAGTCCTACTTTTAACGAATAAAAAAAAAAAAACAGGAAATAGAAAGGTTTCTTGCAAAATTTCATGAAATTAAGTGGTGGTGGGGGGTAACATATGCAAAAAAAAAAAATTTCAAAAATAATTTCATTTATTAAAATCGGACTATCATTTGATTTTTACAAGAAATTCCAAATCAATGTGTTTTCAACGGAAAAAAGCACAAAATATCAATGCTATTATTATGCCACCGCGATGACGTAAACGAAATAAGATTTTAACTAAAATTTCGAACGTTTTAGAAAAGATTAAAAAAATTCAAAAAATAATTTAAAAAATACTTTGGTCTTTCATCTTAATAATAGCATAAAAATTTTGACGATAATACTTTATTTTTATTAAGTTTGTGGCCTTTTTCATTACGCTATGCTGTTTTCCCGTGAAAAGTGGAGGTACTTAATTAAAGTAAACGCAATTATCACGTTGAAACGTTGGTTCTCATGCTATTACCGAAGTTAAGAAACGTCGAGTCCAGATGGGTGACAGATTGAGAATACCACGTGCTATAATCTTGGATGTGCGGGTGGTGTAATGGATAACGATACAGAATTGGAAATCAGAGAGATTGAGTTCTGATTACAAATCGGAGAGGTCGAGTTTCGATTACAGTCGGGTGCTGTATATGCGCAAATACCATTGGGAAAGGTATGAATCGACCCAGCTATGGGTTAATTAGTAGTATTTGTACCAGTATTTATTATTATCGCCAAGAAATTCTTTTTTTTTCTTCTATGTGTCGTTCCTCTTCACGACGTTGCCGATCATGGCCCTCCGCAATTTCCTGCAATTTGTAGCTCATACAATCTAAAAATATTCTGGCTTTAAATAACCTGCAAAAAGTTTTTTTTTCTTCCCTACGAGATTGGTGGATTGTAGAGGCACGGCCGAGCAATGGACTGCGGCCCCGGATTGAGGAATCGGAAAGCCGAGTTCGAATTGTAGTCGAGTTCATTAAATTCACTTACATGCTAATGCCGTTCGGAAAGGTATGAATTGATCTCTTCTTCCTCTATGGGTAAAATAGCAAGACAGGCTGAGTTCTACAGCCTTGGGTGGCAACCAGTCTAGAAGAAGGGAATTCAAACTACCTGTTGTGTTGTAGGTCCTGCTTCTTTAGGCAAAAGGCTAGAAGAAGGGAACTTGAAAAACAAATCCACCGCTGAGATCTCCGGTGTAGAAAAAAAAAACGGCAGTCCACTGTATTATTCCGCCCTGAATGTCACCATGAATCCCATTTGAGAGATGGAGGTGACTACAGCGGCGCATAATGCGCTAAGTGAATAAAGAATGAATGGCTACGAGATTGATTTTTTTCTCTGACTTGTTTATAACGTACTTTTGTGATGTCAACGAACATTCGTTGACACTTTTTTGATGACAACAAATACTCGTTGTCACTTTCGTAATGCTCGTTGTAGTAGAGACTTTGTAATCGCAGATACAACTTAACATAGTAACGCAGTTGAACAATACTGGTGTCAGACGCCTTCGAATATCACCCGCACTAATGGTACTTGTTCGATAATATTCGCTTGAATAGTAATCCTTATAGTGATCCGAAAAGAGAAATAGTATAGTGAATAGAGTAGAGAATTTCGGTCTGTATAGTAAGAGAGGATAGAGTAGAATAGTAACAAAATAGAATGGCGATCCGTATCGTAATAGAGGATGGACTAGAAAAAATGATCAATGAGACACACGCTGCCTCCCATATATGCGTTTCCTCTATGGTCACGTGGTCTACTTAATTCAATAATGGGATCGCCTGTGTTTGTTCACTAGCGATCTATGTTCAAACTCAAATGTCGGCGGTGAGACTTTATTCCTCAATAATACATACGATCTATTTTTTACACTATTTACATTATTCGTACTGTTGTCTTCATTTTCGTTGTCAGATTCACGACGTTTCGGTCGTTGTACGCTCTGGCCTTCTTCGGGATCTGACTATATTTCTGACATGGGGTATTGTAAATATTTATATTGGATCTGTCTATATCTCTGAGATATTAGGTTTATAAGTCCCAAAAATTCATACACGTAGCCCAGTTTGAAAATAGCGTTGATTGAATTAAAAGAGAATTGTGAGTTCAATACCTGGTTACAGTCCGAACAATGTAAATAGGGTAAATAATTACAATAACTCAGCTCAGAACTATAGACAAATACGATCTTTTTTTTTTGTATTTTCAAGAAGAAGAACCTTTAAATTCTTATCATCTTGGTCTTACAACATTCAGCTACTGACGATCTCTCAGCATCGGTTTATTTATTTGCGATTATATGGTGTGTTAACTTGTATGGCAGTGAATGCTGGTAATCTGACCACAGATGAAGAGAAAACTGGAGGAATCAAATATGGTTCTACAGATGGATATGAAGAATACGAATGAGGGAAGAAAATATTAACAAGGAGAAAACTTATACTAAGAAACAGACAGAAACAAGTGAAATTTCTTGAAAACATAGCGAGGAAGGAAAGCTTGGAAAATCTAACGCTCATAGGGTATATCGAAGGCTAAAATAATTTCTGGCCAAAGTTGCAAAAGGTTGATAAGCCGTAAAAAACTTTGAAGGTATTTATATACTGTACAGTATTTACATTAGTCGGACTATTGTCCCATCTTTGTCGCCATATTTGTCACAACGTTTCGGCCGTTGTACGCTCCGGCCTGCTTCAGGTGGTTGGAATTTCGAACTGAACCCTTTATTTCGATCACTGGGGTAGAACGTTCTAGTTCCACGTGCCATGTTTGATGGATGTCAGTTATTAGTTATCTCCTGTTAATTTCCTTCTGAAAGTTCTCCACTGCCTTAACTAGGTAATGAACTCACCTTCTTTGGGTCTGTCACTGGATCTAACCAACGCCTTTATCCACTGTGCTATGTGTCCTTGAGTATTTATATACTACTAAATCCATTTGCAAACAGGTTACTGTATCATCAGGTTCCCGTACTATCACCAAAGTTAAGCAACGTCGATTTTGGCCAGTACCCAGGTGGCTGACTGCTTAGGAATAGCAGGTGCTGTAAGCTCGGATGGGTGGTTGTTATAATGGGCTTACTGGCATATCACATTGAAATATCGGTTCCCGTACGATCACTTATGTTAAGCAATGTTGAGCCTGGTAACTACCTCGATGGGTGACTGCTTGGGAAAACCAGGTGCATCAAGCTTGGATGTCCGTGTTGAGCAATGGATAATGTCTTGGAGTTGTTAATCGGAGAGTTCAAATTCCCGTTGGGTTCGTTTTATTCTCTACGCGCCAATACCCTTGGGAGAAGTATGAATCAACATTTACTACTTCAGCTTTGGGTTAATTAGTAAGACTTGTATGACTAAAATCCCAGTATTATCTAAAAAATAAATAAATAAAAAAAAATTGCGAAGATAATATTCAGAGTTCGGCATTTAACAATCCATATGCCGCTCAACAAAAACAACCAATCTATATTTTTAAACCTTTCTGTTTTCAATCTTAGCGAAAGAATTAAACCTTAGCTATGTCGTTCAAATCTATTAAGTATTAAAATTTCAAATGTAAAGTGTATTACTAAACGATAATAAAACTATATATATATATATATATATATATACAAAAAAATTTCTGACTGAAATTGTTCCGTCAAAATGGCCGCAATCGATGACGAATCCAACAAACGGCGTTCACCGAATGTGTGAGAGAAGGAGAGCGGAAATACTCGACTGTGCAGTCCATTCGTTTGGATCCGCTGTCTTTTATTCATGCACTTTAATATTTCAAAAACCCTATTTTCTGGAGTACCTGCGGGCAGAAGTTCCGTTTGCTATCGATCGGTTGTTTTTGATGTTGGTGCAAATCAGTTTTGATCTGAACGTTCAAAAGGGGTTTTTGGCCGAGATCAAACAAAATGAGATCAAACGAAGGAATTACATGAAATCATCACTGACCTATATATCTACTGTGCATCTACATACGATCATATACTATTACTCTCTTTTTTTCACACACACACACATATATATATATTTGTGTATATATATATATATATATATATATATATATATATATATATATATATATATATATATATATATATATATATAAAGCGAAGGAGTGCTGAAAACATATTTGACCCACTTCCCAAAATCTAAAGAAATGACCTTCTTTGTTAAGTCGAAAATTTTCAGCACCTCATCTATCTATCTATCTATCTATCTATCTATCTATCTATCTACCCATCTATCTACCTATCTATCTATCTATCTATCTATCTATCTCTCACTCTCTCCCTCTCTCTCTCTCTCTCTCTCTATATATATATATATATATATATATATTTATGTGTGTGTGTGTTTAGGGAGATATTATTTTATTCGTTGAAGCTGCTCATATCTATCTATCTATCTATCTATCTATCTATCTATCTATCTATCTATCTATCTATCTATCTATCTATCCACATCTTTCTATTTATATAAATCTGTTATCTATCTGCAGATCTTAATCTGTACATATATATAGACAGTTTATATATGTAGTGACTGTTTATCTATCTATCTATCTATTTATCTATTTCATTGCATTCAAATGTCTCTGTTTATCTTTCTATTCATACATACAACTATCAAATCCAGCGTTCACATGCAATTATCTGCATACAGATGCACACAGAGGTGGACAGAGAAGCCTCTCAACACATAAACGTTTGTCGAAGAATCTGTGGAAGGAAATTGGCTCAACACGCCAATGGCAAAAGATTTCAAGAATCAAAGGAAAGACTTTGGTCATTTCATTGAGAGTCTTATAGGATGATTGCCTTCTGTCCTTCAGGCTGGTCAGATATGGCTGAGGGCAGGAATCGTGATGTGCACACACACACACACACACACACACACACACACACACACACACACACACACACACTAAGTATAATAATTATGTATATATAGATGAGGTATATGCATTCATTTTAAATAACGTATGTATTTATATTTAGCGGGTGCTATGGGTAAATTGTCCGCATTTTATAATTTTAAATCCGCGCATGCGCATTGTTTGTTTTTGATTTTGTCGACTGCACAGTATAGTAGGGTCAGTTGGGCACCGTCTGTGAGAAAAAGTGCACTATGACTTAATTTGCTCCGAGAGAAATTTGGAAACGGTGTATAGTACTGCGTGGCATTCGCACTGGAAACTCCAATACAAATATTTCAGAGTGTTTGGGTGTCAATCTGAGGACAGTGCAGACGATAAGGAAAGGACTGGATGAGTTTAATGGTGATTACGAAGTTACGACATCCAGGAAAACGAATTCCCGAATTTGTTTGCGAAGGCCTCACAATCAACACGGAGGCCTATATCAGGTGCGTTGAAGAGGTAGTGCTGCCCTGGATTAAAAGGGTGGCTGCTGGAAGACCCTATGTCTGGCAACAGGACTCTGCAATATGCCTCACAAGCAGGAGAACCCAGTCATGGCTGTCAGACAATTTCTGTGACCACATCACCCCTTACATCTGACCACCTAACTCCCCAAACTGCAACCCCTTGATTATTATGTGTGGAACGCAGTTGAGCGAGAGACCAATAAAACTCATTGTAACACCAAAGATGAACTGAAGGCAAGGATTATGGCAGCATTTACCAACGTAAATAAGGAAACCGCCCAGAAAAGTTGCAGGAGATCCTGAAATCATCCGGAGGCCGTGGTTGAAGCCAATGGCGATTTTATTGAATAAATTTACTCTTTAGTATTTCAAGTCATTTTTGTGTATTTTTGGTAGTGTATATCTGTTAAAATCAGGGTTATTTTCATTTTTTTGCGTAATTTAGATAACAATTTATATATCGCACCCTATCACTGATATTGAGCGCTTTTCAATAAGTACCGCGCATATATAATATATAAATAATATATATAAAATTACATGCATATATATATATATATATATATATATATATATATATATATATATATATATATATGTGTGTGTGTGTGTGTGTGTGTGTGTGTGTGTGTAGTTTCTTTATTTATTGAATATTATAGCTCTAATTATCTACAAAGCGATTTAGGCAGTTCTGCTAACTTGAAAAAAAAAAAAAAAAAACAGGTGAAAAATGCAATTATTCATAACAAATGTCTTGAGGAATCAAAAGTCCTGACGAGAAATAACGCAACTCAGAGTTACATCCAATAAACATTGTGCATTTTTATTTCTGATTCAATACTCTACAATCTCAACCGCTGTGCTACGCCACCCTAGCGTGACACGGCGCCTTAGTGTGTCACGCGACCCTCTTTCGTGTGCCGCGAAATATTGTCACGGCATGCATATATATATATATATATATATGTGTGTGTGTGTGTGTGTGTGTGTGTGTTTGTGTGTGTGTGTGTAAGTGTGTGTAAGTTGTAATGGTATAGTGTTAGTATTTGAATAAATGAATAAGTATTAAACGTTTTATCCCACATTAACTAAAAATGCTTTATCAGCTTCATTGCAATTTTCCACTTTTTATTAATGTGAATTAGGCTCCTCAACCCTAAATTGACATCAAAAATAAGAATCGAGAAAGACGACGCTCAACTGGAGAGGAAATGCGAGTTTGCTTATCGCACATTCGACTAAACATTGAAGAAATCGCCAAAGAAAAACATAAGACACAGGTTTCACACTAAATAAGCGGCACAAATGGTTGAATAGAAACATTGAAATAAAGGAAATTCATATTTGTGTATGTGTTTTTTTAAAAAAAAATCTATAGTTTTATGTTATAACATTTAAATATATACCCTTTAAAAATTTTAAGTGCGCCATGATATTTTCATTTGCTTCTAGATGGGCTGTTGGTTAAAAAGGTTGCGAAACACTATTCTAGACAAATATCGAAGACTTTATTGGCAGAAATTCCGTTCACCTTGGTATACCTTAAGAGCCTGTTATTTTTTTTGTGTTTTTTTTTCGCGTGTGTTTTGGCTTTCTCTCTCTCTCTCTCTCTCTCTCTCTCAATCTTCTTCTGTCACGAGGTTTTATGCTAATAGGTTTTTAGTAGTTTTATCAATAAATACTGTTTCATGTAATTGCCTTTTTAGCCAGCTTACCCTGAAGATCCGTTTAGGTGAAACCTAGGTAGGTTGTTCTTGGCTCTTTAGGATTTATTCCATTTATCCCTGCTCTGCTTACCGTGTTGAGCACTCTACGTTTTAGTTTTATTACTCGCTTGGTTTTTTTTCTTTGGACTAAAAACTTAAGGCACTGGACGATTTTTTTCGTTCTGTTCGGATGTTTCTATGTTTTTTTTTCAATTTTTTTTACCAATTTGTTTTGATGGTTGTACTATCCGAGGTTTTTTTTTCCAACCGAGTATTACTAGTAGTTTAATATATCTTAAATTATATAATTTTACTTATATCAATATCTAACATTATTATTTTATCAATATTTTATTCTAAAGTTTAAAGTTCACTCAGAACTAATAGATAGGTAAAAATTGCCTCGTTGTGTCACCTATATCCTTCGGAGGATCTTTCAAAGGCCTTACAGGACCAAAAGATTAACCTAAAAACTTACTTTTTTTAAAAATAACCTCGTTAGATTGTGACTGTCATATGGGTGTCATGTATGGCGCTTAACTGTTTCAGCGTTCAATTGTATACAACCACTTTCTATGATCAATGGTTAAGAATGGCTTCAAGCGAATGAACGCTCTTTGAATGTCTTGCATTGGCGCTACACAATCACAAAGAAAGAAATGTACCAAATAATAGAAACCACACCAAGCGAGGACATTCAGCAACAGCAACAACTTAAATGCATAGCACACGTAACTTTTAGAGAAAATGTCATAATAAAGACGTTGACATTCCATACAACTACAAACAAAAGGTTAGAAAGGAAACCCCCATCAGTACTGGAAAGAGCGATAACAGCTACTGGACTTGAGAAACCTGTTTTCATGAAAAATTGTTTTAAGAGAAAGGTTTTTAAAAATTTCAATACCAATCAGCCTGCGGTACATTTGGTTGAAATTTATAAAATATTTCTCTTGCTCTATGTTTCATTATAAGGAAACAGCTATATATTACGAAGTTTAGCTTAGTACAGCCAAAAGAGTTGAAAGATTGTGTTGCGCCAGTTTTAGAAAACCTACCTGCTGCCATTTCGCGTGCTGATGGCGGTACACTGAT